CAGAGGTCAGGAACTACTTGTCCAAATTATCCTTAATTTAAGCCGCTTACGCAACTAAAAACTTAAATTTACTCGGGTTTCCCCCTAAAATAAAATTTTTTTACTCTTAGAACCACTCGAGGTTCTCCTTACGGTTGTTGAGCTTGTCACCGTCAATGTGTCTGACCTTCGTCTTCTTGCCTGGATTTGGAACCCATTGAATTGCGACAAGCTTGCCCATGGAAATTGAACCGCGATTCCGAAGGTTAAGGTTCAAGTGTCCCAAGTTGTTGAGGACTGGGGTAAGAACCTTGCCTGTCTCCTTGTTGCGGATTTTGTATGGGTAGGGTTGGGAAATTTCATAACTGTCATCGGCAACAAGGGTTGCCCAAACTTCCTCTTCTTCGTGTTTCTCTTCTTCTCTTCTTCCTCTTCCTCTTCTTCGTGTTTCTCTTCTTCCTCGACAATTCCTTCTTCAATTCTGTGTTCACGAATTACGGTGTTGGAGGTTCTGTCCTTTCCGAGTACCTTCCAGATGGCGTCTATCTCTTCGAAGAAACGGTAGATGAGTCTGGCAAGGTCTCGGTTCTCTCTCGCGTAAATGCGCAAGGTTTCCGTCAAATCGTTCAGGACTTTCTCATTGGAAGCTTGGTTCATGAGGAACTCACCTTTAAGTCCCTTCATCTCTTCCATAAGACTACTTTGGAGAGTCTTAACGGTGTTTGTCAGATGAGCTTTCAAATTCAAAATTTGAATTTGAACTGGGCGCTTGTCTGGCAACATTGAAAGGACATCTGCCATTGTGTTCGGCTTCGGTGCTTGTTCGGACATCGAAAAAATGAAGTGGTTTGAGAATGACGGTTTTACTTCAAAAAGCTTGTTATGACGGTTAAGTCATACAACAAGTTTAAAATAATATCTTGTTCTTCTTCTGAACGTTTGTTGTCTCTTCCGATAAAAGTTTCGAACATGAGAACCAAAAAACGTTTTTTGAGATTGCGGAAGAGTTCAGGCAAACGTTCATATTCTGGATATGTTGGGAGCAGTTCGAAACATCTGAGCTGACTTTCGGACAAAATTGGGACAATGTCAGAAAATTCATCTTTGGTCGGACTGCTGAAGGTAAGTCCCTTACAGCTTAATGTAAGTAGCTCTGGTAAAGTCTTCTCATTTCTGCTAACTTTTGGAGTATAGCTTCGTAGTTTAGAAGTTTTAATTTTAATTGTCTTATTCCACTCTTTACTTCTAAACGGTAAGTATCCATGAGGTCAAGAGTAGCTTTGGTAGCTTTAAGTGGAGCTATTTGTTCCTTGACTTCTGCAATTTTGGTTGCAATTGTGGTTTGAGCTCCTTCAAGTTCGCCGTCTATGTCGTTCTCAACACCTTCAACCATAGCTTGAAACTCTTCATCGGTCCATTGAGTTTGGTGTGGGACGAATTTAACTTGCTTCATTCAAAAAATGAAAAAAATGTTTTTACTCAAAGCGTGCCATGTATATGGCTATAAGAAACTTACCAGAAGGCTTCTTCTTCACATGAGTCTTTGGCAACTTGAGTGTTGGTGTTGGAGTTCTTGGGGGAGGTGGCTCTGAAATTTCAAATCTCTCTCGAGCGCAACAACAGATGTCAGAATAACATTCCCCACTGTCTTTCTTGCCACCATAAACTGTGTATTGACCAAACTTGCATTTACAGGAAGACCGGTCAATACAAGGTTCACAGTTGAAATAGTTGTACACAAACCTGTTGAGTACGAGTGTGAGTAAAAACATAAAAAAAGTGAAGTGAAAATGAGATGTTTACAGTACTGGTTGGATGTCGCCTTCTGAGGTTATGTAGAACGGCTGACCCGAGAAGTGAAGGAGACCCTTGAGAATTTGGCTCATTCTTGGGAAAGGGTTCTCTCTGGTTGGAAGTTGTATCCAAGGACGCTTGGCAAAGAACTTGAGAAGAGCTTCTTTCTTTGCTTGCTTTATGTCGTCGTAGGCTGTCCCGTCTGGTATTTGAATTGGAATTCCAGTCGAAGTCTCGAGATTCAAGGCAGCCCTTCCCGTTATCCAACAGTTAACAAGCTTGCCTTTTACATTCTGCCTGAGGAAGTCTTTAACAAGCTCGTTAATTTCAATTAGGTAAATTGCCTCGTCGGTAGGTTCGACCTCGACCATTGCTACTGTCAGAAAAAGTACTGCTACTGTCAGAAAAAGTACTGCTACTGTCAGTAAAAGTACTGCTACTGTCAGAAAAAGTACTGCTACTGACAGTAGCAGTACTGCTAGGAGCAGTAAAAGTACTGCTACGAGCAGTAAAAAGGAAAATTTGAGAGGGTTTTCGACGATAAAGTACTGCTACTGTCAGAAAAAGTACTGCTACTGTCAGAAAAAGTACTGCTACTGTCAGTAAAAGTACTGCTACTGTCAGTAGCAGTACTGCTAGGAGCAGAGATTTTTATCGTTGTGGTCCGACGGTTAAGCCACAAACGAATGTCCGACGTCCCACCAACCGAGTCCATTCCCAAACCAGAGGAACCTAAAGCACCAGCCCCTGCACCTCAGTTCCAGCAAGTCCCTCCACCAAATTACTACCAATTTCCACCTCAAGGTTACTACCAATTTCCACTACAAGGCTTCCCGAACTACCCTCCTCAGCCTATGCCTTACTTCCCCAACCCTTGGATGTTCCAGCAAGCTCCACCCCAATTCCAATTCCAATCTCAATCCAAGAGAGACCAAGAGTTCGAAGAAGGTCTGAACCGTTTACGCAAAGAGTATGCCACAGCCCCTATGGAAGAAGACAGGCTCTCACTCTCTTCCCTCAAATCGACCGATTCGACTCGTACCACAGATTCGGTTCGTGACCGTGAAGACTACCTCAAGCAGTCTGAGAGACTCTTCATCCTACAACCATTTACAGTTGGAGCTCTCAAGAACATGCGCAATTACGAAGGTCAGACACCAGCTGGAGACCGCAAAACAGACGTACTCGCAAGAGCAGTCCAACTGGTCAAGACAAAGACGGAGATAGTTGACTTCATTCTTGCAGCTTGCCCATACAAGTAAAAAAATAAACAATTACGAGTTAAACTTTTTACTCTTTCTTTTCTGAGTTGTTTAGAGCTGGTTTCTCTTGTAGGAACCTTTCGTACTCTTCCATGGTCATGTAATTGCGAATTTGGTACGCAATTCCAGGTTCGTTGTTTTTGAACCTTACGTATGTAACGCTTCCATCCTCCTCAGGGAAGTAAGCTGCTAACATCTGACCAAGTTTTCTCGGTGACTCGGAGCTCATAAAAATGTCACTTTTTAAACGTTAAGTTTTTAGTCTTATTTTACCCTTTGTTTACCCTTTGTTTGTCAATGTAGTATTGGAGTGCAATTTCTCCAAATTCTCTGTGTCGGAGTTCTTCAGCATTTTCCAAGGTGTTCCTGGAGAACTCAAAGAAGTTGTCAAGAACATACTGCCATGCTGCTCTTCGGAGTTCGTCGGTATTTTGGAAGTGTTGCACCTTCGAGTCTTCTGACATGAAAAAATAACACTTTTTCTATTAAACCGTTTACAATTTGAATTTTGTTGCTGAATTCAGCAAAAATATATTTTAGGGTAGAAGGGTATATCTACCCTCTTTTCTACCCTCTTTTCTACCCTCTTGAATTTTCATGAGTTTTCCCGAAATAAAAAATAAAGTTGGTTTTTTTAAAAAAATATTTTTTTATTTTTATTGTAAGAACATGTTAGCAACTACAGCACCAAACTCTTTAGTCATGAATCCAACATCTATGTTAGTAGAGATGAAAAGCTTCATTCCTTCTTCATATACTTTCGAAACAAAAATCCAGAAGATAAAGCAAGAACTTTTAACAAGTAATTTAGACTGTAGTGCGAAAGATGAAACAAATGAACAGTATCTTTATGAAATGCAGGACATTATTGACCATTTACCCAAATTGCCTGAAATCCAACAACAAAAACTAACCATTCCGAATTTGACGAAATAGAAGTCAAAGCAACTGACTCAGTAGAAATAAAGAAGTTCATACGAAAGGTAAATTATGAATTCCTTGGTTTTCATTGCAACCATAAGGTTATGGACAAAGATTGCGACATGGTATATAAGAACATCTCTGACCTTTACAAATCCGAAGAATTTAAGACCTACGACAACTTTGTTTCGTTAGTTGCAAAATGTGTTTGGGAAATAAGAGATAAAGATAGTAGGGGTAAGGTATGGAACGAACAAATAAAACCCGCTATGTTCGAGATGAAGAAAACCATTGACGCCTTAGTCATACTAGCAGGTAAGATTTCAATGTACAATGCTAAAATGAACCCACAATGTTCAAAATGTAAAGCAGCAATGAGGAAATATAACTACTCCGTCAAAGAGATAGAACGTATGCGAAACGACTATGCTGACTTAAAGAAAGAAGTAGAGAAACCAGCAGAAGATAAAATGGACATGTTGACATTTCTGAACAAAAACTATCCAACAGCTGACGATTTCCTTCTATCTGATGTCAAGAAGAAATATAAAGAAACCTTCGGCATTGTTAAAACATTCGATGTACTGACAGAAGAAATAGAAGCTACGAAATTGTTTAGAATTTCACGAATTCACAATGTTTACCATGTAAAACGCTTATAAAATAACTGGGGTAGAAAAGAGGGTAGAAAAGAGGGTAGAGCTACCCATCTACCCTAAATTATATTTTTATTGAATTCTGAGTAAAATTCTGAGTAAAATAATTTTTAGGGCATGTGTCAAACCGTTGAGTTTTCACAAAATTTAAAAAATAACGTTTACCATGTAAAACGTTTATAAAATAACTGGGGTAGAAATGAGGGTAGAAAACGGGGTAGATATACCCTTCTACCCTAAAATATATTTTTGCTGAAAAAAATGACCAAATTTCATGAAATTTCTCTAGACCGACTTTTACAGGGGTAGCCAAAACTCATGAAAACAGTGAAAAATAACAGAGTATTTTGACAACTTCAAACAAGCAGAGTAAATGAACCATTTATTTTTATTGACTTTTTACAATTTGAACTTTGTTTGCGTAGATATGAATTCTGAAAGAAGTATGAGGGTCTTGTATGACTTTGTACTTCTCCCATAGTTCATGTCTGTCAAACTTACCTGCCATGGACTCTTTCATAAGTTCCATGAAATCGTCTTCGGACAATCCAGGGAAAAGTATGATATCAGTAAGTATTCTTTTAACATCCTTACTTAAACTCTTTGCTGTCTGTACACAAATGACAACTGAGATGTTAAAGTGTCTGAGCTTCTTAAGAATTCGACACATATCTTGTTCTCTGTTCTTTAACAAAGGATGAGAAGCAAAGTCATCTAAGATAAGAAGACATCTATGAGGGTAAGTCTTCCAATCGTACGATTGCAATTTCTTCGAAATGTATTCTATCTCTTTCTGTTTGTTTCTGAAGTGTTTCTTCTCTAATATTCTCTGCATTTCCTCATTTGGGTCTTTAAACTTAGAATTTATATACTCATTTATAGCATTATACTTCAAAACTCTTCTTTGGTACTTCTTTATCCAATCTAACAACTCAGAGTCTTTTATACATACTAACTTAGACTTCTTTATAATATCTTTGAACGAATTGACGGTTTGGTCAAATTGACCAGAAGTCGAACAAATGACAACTAACTCATAAAATGGGTTCTTCTCATCTAGTTCTTGTTGTTGTGCAGCCATTTTAAGATAAGTGAAAGTCTTACCCGACCCAGGTGGTGCAATTAGACCTGTTATACCATTCTGAGCAAATAAGAACTTGTCATGTATGGGTTTTATCTGAGCATTTTCTAACTTCCTCTTGTTCTTGTTTAAAACATTCTCAAATTTCTTGTCAATGTCAGCAAACTTTTTTTCTAACATATTTTTAGAAAAATTAAAAATTTTATCTTTTAGAAAATGTCTAGCGATTTCGCTATCTATATTCGAGACAAACTTTTTGACAGCAAAACATCTGTCGACCATAAAATCTTACATAGTGTAAACAAGAAAGGGAATTTGTTCTAAAGTTCTGTTTCTGGGAATATGACAAGAACCATAAAACATTAGGCAGAGAAGTCTTAAGTTTGTCAATGACAGACTTGTTGACAGAGATGACGCGATTGGAAAGATGAAGTCCAACAAAAGTTCTTAGAATGCAAAGAAGACACATGCGCTTTGAAGATGAAATAGAAAACAGAATAGAAGAGCTATTAAAGGACAAAGAACTTTTACATAAATATGGTTGCGCCAAATTTGACATAACTCCACCAGAGAAGAAGAAGAAGAGAGAAAAGAAAGAAAAGAAAGTAGAAGAAGAGAAGAAAGAACCTGAACCAGTTCCAGAGAAAAAGAAATTTGACATGTAAAAATAAAATTTTATTTTTAGAACATTTCTGGGTCAATGTCAATGTTCTCTTCCTCTTTAGGAGCAAACACTGGCTTAGACTCTAAAATCTTTTTACCCAATTTACCCTTGAACTTCAACTATCTTAGACTCATAATATTCATAGTCGTCTGCTTTCTTTGGTTCATAAGGTATAACAAGTTTGTATGCTTTGCCTTCTTTAAGGTTTGAGAACCTTCTGTCAAAATTTTCTTTGACTGCTAACAAACCTTCTATGTCTAAGTCTTCAAATTTCGCACCATTTTTAGTCACAATAGCAAACTTAACTGGTTCGATGTTCCAAACTTTTGTCAAATGTAGACTTTTCAAAATGGTAGAAGTAAACATTCAAATAAGCGAATGGGTCTAGTTCTTCTTTAAGTCCTGACATATATTTGTTGACTGAAATATATTTCGTCATCTTTTCTATCGGATAAAAAAATATTTTTTTAAAATTTACTCATAAAAATTTTTCTTTGTATATACGCCGTTCTGAACATCTAAAAGACTTTTGACATTTGCCAAGAATGTTCGTTTAGAAGCTGCCATATAACCATATTCTTGACAATACTGTTTATACGAGTCGTACAATGACCTTTCATCTAAACACTCAAAGTTAGTCTCATCTATAAACAGTTCATATACACTCTTGTTTGCTTCTAACAATGTTTGTCTTTCTTCGGTATGTGGAATTTGTCTTGGATTGAACTTTAGAAATATCTAATGTCATGAAAATATGAGAACAAGTGGTTGTAAAAGTCAGATGTCAAGTTTCTGCTAAGTCGTCAAAATATTCTGTATCTTGCATATGAGAATCTGACGTTCTGACAACTACATATCTTCTGTCAGAACTTTCTAACTTCATCGGAAC